GGGGGGTGATGGGTGATGTGGTCTCTGATCTGCAGGGGAAGCCGCAGGCCGAGATTTCTGAGAAGTCTCCTCGGCCTGGTCACGTGTCACATGTCACGTGTGGTCTTCCTGGGAACGTGACACACGCCGCGCTCTGCAGGCTGCAAATCAAATCAGACGCGTCGGCCAAACATCCGTCTGCCCTATCACCGCGCCGATTCCACACTGATCAATCACAGAGAGACGATTGGTTTATAGAAAACCCATATATGCAAATGTCAGCAGCTTTAACCCCGCCCCCCCCACCTCCCCCATCAACAGCCTAATACAAACTCAGTCTTCATTATGTAACTTATTTTGTGACGTCATCACCGGGTCTCTGTGCTTCTCTATGCAATGCCGGCAGATCGCGACAGGTGGGTGCTGTACACGGCTTCCTGACCACAACACAGCACCCTGCCTCAGTACTTCTCTCAAGAGCCCTCAGCCCTGATGCAAGCAGTGGGAGGAGTTATGCAAATAGGAAAATGCTTTAACGGGAGAGGGTGTTCCTAAGCAGGGGCGGTATTTGCATAGGTAACGCCCACGCGAGATGCCAAGCCTCCATGACCGAAATCCAATGAATGATCGGGGGCCGGGGAGGAAAGTTCTAGATGACGCCAGGAAATGAGGCGGAGCTCTATCTGACTTGCTGCAGCTTCTAATGCACATTGTGAAACCAGAGGAAGCCGGTTCAGTCCAGGAGAGGAGCCGCTACAACAATGAACGTGGCCTTGTTTACATTCACCCAGCCTGCACTGTAACCGCAGACGAGGACTGAGCGCAAACCTGCTCCGCACACCTGAAGTAGAGGTTCAGCGCTGCACTCATGTAATCACTGGGGGGAACAGATCACAGACCGCTGGAAGCGGGATATAGGAGGTTATCAAGTTGTTGTCTTCCTGCATCCCGTCTCTGGATCTCATCGACCTCCTCCCGTCCATGGGCGTTCCTGAACGGTCGGACGGCAGTCTTCAGACGTCCTGCCCCCCCCCCCCCCCCCCCCCCGCCCCCC